CCATAGACAGAGTTAAATATTTAACTTCACTGATTTTTTCATCAGAACAGATTAACTCTTTCTCTTTACAGATGCTGCCTGAGCTGAGTTTTTCTAGCTTTTATTCCCTAACTTATTACAGTTGAGGCCTTTTTTTTTAATTGTTGTTTTAACTATCCATGTTTCATTATTTCTAAAAGGGAAGAGGGAATTATTTAGTGGAAGATAATAGCATGACCTAAAGACTCTATATTTAATGCTTTGTTAACTTTGATTTATAATTTTACTTAACAGATAAAGTACCATTGGCTATACCATCTGATTCATTAGCTGAAAAAAATGATAACCCTATCTGTGACTCAGCCTATAAGCCAATGCTACAGGTCTCTAATAATGAACATACTCACCACTATCCAGACAGCAGCACTGAGAAAGAAACTGCCTTACTGGCAAACAGTTCAGCGCCACCATGTTCGTCTTACGATTGTTCAGAAACATGTAAGTCAGTTGTTTTTGCAGCATTGTGTGTATGATATATGAACAATGTGTCTAAAGATTTCAAAGTAAATTTTAATTGTCATGCCAAAGAATTTGCAGAACTTTAAATGGAATACCAAGCACCAAGAATTGATAAGATTACTTGTTTCAAAATGGGATATGTAATAGCACTATTTTTGACTTATATCAAATACATACGCTGGACAATTATTATCCATTACATACTTTTGATACCAAGCAATCTGCTTCATAGCCATTGACTTGTAACACTCTCTTTTCTGGTGTGACATCAGTAACAAAAGTTGCAGTGTTTATCCTAGCAGTATTTTTCCAAATAAATATTTATCCACTTAACGTTTGACTCCATTCTAACATTCCTTGAATTAGAAATGTGGTGGTTTATTTCGGCATCTCGTAAAAATTTAGCCTCATTATTCTCATGAACTAAAATGCTACTCTGGTTAAATTCTTGTCAGTAGAGAATGCTTCTGTTCAGCCTCTTAACAATAATTTTGAAACAAATTTACCAGTGACAAATAATAGATATTACTGCTGAAATTCTGACAGAAGTTAAGAAAATTGCAGCCGTCATTTTACGTTTGCAAACCAGATTGTTGCTGTCCCATGCAAATGTAAAATCCCATGTGATGATGTTGTGTTGTGAACCTGTACTGTGGTAGTGGATAGATGCCAAAATTGGCAGCTTTTTAACACAAAATCATTAACAGGCAGTGAGCTTGATATCAACCAATTGAGCAGAATGTTGCACTGGCCATGTAGTTGGTAAGGGTTCTTGGCACAGTGGCAGGGTTCATACCACTGAGACAGGAGACTTAGGCTCAAGTCCCACCTGCTCCAGAGGTATGTACAGTAGCATCTCTGAACAGTTTGTTTAAGGAAAGAGAAACGTAATTTGGTTTGGTAAGGTGGTTGAGAATGGGAATTCCACTTTAATTAACTGCAATGAAAAAGCAAGAAGGAACAGAATGTGCATCTGAGGAATAAGGGACACCTCCACCCTCCTTCGTGTCTGTTTGCTTGGTTGCCAAAACCCACCAACCCACCACTTCAAAGCCTGCATGAGTGTCCAATCCCTCCCCAACTATCAATGTTACTTGTAGGCCTCCTTGCAGCCCCAGCCATACCCATTACTGAGTTCTACGACATTAGAGCTGCCAACCAATCCAATTTGCTAGGAGATCTTGAGGAAAGAATTTTTTCTACTGTTATCACTGTGGAGTGGCCTTTTTTTTTATTTTCAGGCAATCCACAGGGTGGTGGGGAAGTGACTAGAAAATTCTCTCCTGTGTTTTACAACAATATATATTGGTTCCAAACTCGAGTCATTTTATACATTTTGAAAATGTTTTTGAAAATTTTTTTCTAATATGTCTGTTTAAAATGAGCAATTGTTTGTAATGAAGCATGTTCTTTGGGTGCTAAGATGAATATCAAAATTAATATTAAACATTTTTATATGTAAAAGCTGATATCTTGTACAAAGTTAAAATGTGAAATTCAGGAAACAAAATTTAATAGTTTTTTGTTTTAAAAAATGATAACATTCTATCATTTTGGTAGTTTAATAACATGTTCTGAATTTTTTTTTCAGGTCTTCACAATTTCAACTATTATGAATTGATGCAGAGGACTGGTAACTTTGATGAGCGTCCAGTATCACTTGGTGGTAGTAAGATTGGTGAGGGAGGGTTTGGAGTTGTGTACAGAGGCTACATAAATAACAGAATGGTGGCTGTGAAAAAATTGACAGCAGTGAGTATTAATTTATAATGTATAACTGAGCTGCAAGCATTTTTTATTTTCTGTTACATATTTTACTTTTTATATGAAACTAAGTTGTAGGTTGATTTAGGCATCTTGCTGATTGGTAATTCAAGAAAAAAATGAAATTGTACAAGAAATCTGTACAATTTAATTACAGTGCGGGAAGCGTGGATTTAGGGTGATTGAAAAAAGAACCAGATGTAACATGAGGAATACCTTTTCTAACAGTGATTAGATTCAGGAATGCATTATCTGAGAATATGTTGGAAACAGATTCAATTTTGGCTTTCATTTGGGAAATGGATAATTTTCTGAAGAGGAGACAAAAATTACTGAGGTATGGGGAAAGGCAAAGGAATGGGACTAGCTGAGTTGCTGTTTCAGTGAACTAACATGAATACAACAGACCAAATGGCTGCCTCCTGTCATGCATTAATTATTATGCTATGGGGCTGAATTTTGAAGTGTATTTTGCTGCCATCCATCCTCCCTGCCCCCACCCCACACCTCAACCATTACCCACCCCCCACCCCCCCACACACGCACGCGCGCACACACCCTGACTAGAAGGTTTGTCAAGTGACAGCCCACTTAAAAAGCCTGTGGCCACTATATGCTCAATGACCTGTTAATTAACTAAGGGCAAGACTTTTGTTTCAATTCTTTCAGGGGATATGGGCGTCAGTAGCAAAGCTGACAATTATTTTTCATCACTAATTTCTTTGAGAAAGTGAAGATGAACCACCTGTTTGAATTCTTGCAGCCAGTCCATGAGGATAAGTAGATTCACAATGCCTAGAAAGGGATGATCAGACACTGAACAAATTCATAAGAGACTGTCCATGTACTTTGAACAAAAATTTAGTACACACTAAATTTAATAATCACAAACTATGTTCCATGACACAAGAACTATTTGAAATGGTCTTACAGGTATCAGAAATAAAGATTTAACTATTTAACTTCAACAACATCTATGTCTCTTCTCTGCCTTTTCCCTCTCTCTAATGTGCTCTCTCTCTCACTCTCCCCTCTGCTCTATTTTGCTTTCTTCTTCACCCCCACCCTCCCTACAAAGATGCTGGCAGAGAGCTGTAAAATCTATTCTTTTGATTCTAATTATCAGTGCATGCAACCTTGCCTGAACTGTGAATGGTCTTACCTCTTAATCCTGGTCATGAGTTCAAATTCCACTCCTTGATCCACATAGGTCAGCACTTAAATATAGTTCTAGGGAGTATTGTCAGACATTCTATCTTTTAGATGAGATACTGTAATGGAAATTCTTAAGTTTCTTAAAAGGAAAATTCTCTATTGGGAAACTAAAGAAGCTCTGAAATTAGAGCTAGGCCATCCAGGAGTAAAATAGGGAAGCATGTTTTCATTCAAAGGTCATGAAGTATATTTTTCTCCCTTGTATAAATAACAAATGATGTTTGCAAGCTTGAGATGGACAGATTTTAATAGGTATACGTATCAAAGACTGTGGAGTCGAGTTGAAGTACAGATCAGGCACAATAAATCTGAATGGCTGAACACAGTTGAGGGGCTGACAGGTTCTGTTCGGTGCAAAGAGTAGGAAGTATTTCACAGTTGCCAACTGATCATGTATCACTTGAGTAGCTAGTGTTTCCAAGTACTGTTTGATTTGTTTGAGGATTAGAAAATTTACTTCTGGTGGAACATATTATGACATTCCAGAAAGCATTACATAACTCGTTTAAACATATGATTTTTCAGCATATATGCAAAAAGGAGTTGCTATGTGATTATGTAGTGCATTCATTGATCACTGTTTCTCCCTCAGTCACGCTCTGCACATGGGTTTGGAAGTGTTGCAAGCCGTATCGATTTTTAGCCAGTTGTACTTTAACCTGAACTAAAAAGATTCTGAGAATAGGCAGTTAAATTGGAAATGTTGTAGTAATGTCAAGACGTTAATTAGCTAATTTTTTGAATTATTGGATTATGACAGTGCTTCCTTTCCATCTCTTTTCAAGATCTTATATAGATTTTAGCACTTGGTTATAATATTCAAAACAGAATTTACAGAACCAATTTTAAACTGTTGGACTTGGCTTGTCTGTTGCTGCTATACCACATGGAACTAGACAGTTAGAATTCAGATCACCTCTGTGTTAGAATACAAGAACTAGGAGTAGGTACTTCAGCCCCTTCAATCTGCTCTGCCATGAAATATGATCACGGATGATCTCATCTTGGCCTCAACTCCACTTTCCTGCCCACTCCCATAACACTTCAACCCATTATTAAGTAAAAATCTATCTAACTCCTCCTCAAATTTACTCAATGTCCTAGCATCTACCTCAGTATGGATTAGTGAATTCCATAGTTCACAACCCTTTTGAGAGAAGTAACTTCTCATTTCTTCTGTTTTAAATCTGCTACTCCTTATCCTAAAACTAAGACTTCTCATTCTAGATTGCCCCACAAGCAGAAGCACCCTCTCTCTAAGTCTACTTTGTCAATTCCCTTCAGCATCTTGTATACCTCAATTAGATCTTCTCTCATTTATCTAAACTCTAGAGAGTATAGGCCTAGACTGCTCAATGTAACTTCATAAGACGAACCCCTCACCTTTGGAATCATGCTAGTAAATCTCCTCTGAACTGCTTCCAGAGCAACTACAGTACAAGTAAAACTGTACAGTTGCGACACTTCTGTACTTTTATACTCTATCCCTTTAGTAATAAATGCCAAAATTCCCTTTGCCTTCCTTATCACCTACTGTACCTGCTTACTAGTTTTCTGTGATTCGAGCACCCAGATCCCTCTGCACCAAAGCACGCTGAAGTTTCTCTCCATTTAGATAATAAGTTGCCTTTCTAATCTGACCAAAATGGATAACCTCCTACTTATTCACATTAAATCCAGCTGCTGAATTTTGGCCCATTCACCTAACCTATCTTTATCTGTTGTAAATTTCTTATTTCTTCATTGCAGTTTACTTTCCCACCTATTTTAGTGTTATCTTCAAATTTGGCTGCAATAGCTTCTATCCTTGTATCCAAATTATTAGTAAAGATTGTAATTGGTTGGGCTTAAGGACTGAACCCTATGCTACATCTTGCCAAATGGATAAAGACCCATTTATCCTGACAGTCTGCTTTCCGTTAGTTAGCTGATCCTCTAGCCAAGCTAATAAATTACCTCTAACCCTAAGTATACTTTCTCTTGCATTATTTATAAACAACCATAAAAAGGATTTATATTGTGCTAGTAACATTTCCCAAAGCAGTTCACATAATGCAGCACCAAGTAACATTTGTTATTAAATGACTTGTATATTTTAATCACTTATTATAAAACTCAGCATTTAATTATATTTTTTATGTTTAGGCACTGGATCAGCATAATGTCAGCATGGGGGAGCTGAAACTTCAGTTCAGTCAAGAAATTAAAACTTTGGCTAAGTATGTAGAGCTTTTAGAAATAGCTTACACCAATAATTCTAAAGTATATTGTTTAATCTAATGATAACCATAATGTGACCTATTTATAGATTGAAAAATGAAAACCTGGTTGAGTTACTTGGCTTTTCTAATGATGGAGAACACCCCTGCCTGGTTTATGCTTACATGTCTAATGGATCATTGCTGGATAGATTGGCATGTCTGGTAGGTACAGTTGTATTCCGTAATAGTCAAAATGTGGTTTTATTTATTTTAAAGAACTTTTTAACAGAATTTTATAATATTCTCTTTACTATTAAGTTGATTAATTCCAAAACCTTTTCAGGATAACACAGCTCCACTTTCTTGGAATAAAAGATGCAGTATTGCTGTAGGTACAGCCAATGGATTAAAATATTTACATGAAAATAATCATATCCATCGTGATGTTAAAAGGTAAAGAATACCTTTTTAAATGTTTCTACTCTTTCTTTGCACTTCATATATTGTACTCAGGATATATAATTTGAGTACTGCTGAGAATAGACATGTTTTGAAACTTTTTAAACCTTGCATTCATCAGGATGTTTCACAAGAAATACCAAAGTAAAGGAAAAACAACAATGGTGAGAGGGGAGTGCTGATTAGTTTATATTGTTAGAAATGTTTCTGTGGAGAATGCAACAGTTAACTGCAAACCCTGTTTGAATTTTAAACGAGGCATGTTGACTTAGCCAAAAATATATTTTCCCTACCATGTAAATGAATAATGTGATACGTGAATTTCAGTGCCGGTGTGATGCTAGGTGAATATACTGTACAACCCAAAGACTGACTGATCATATCAAACAGAATTGCCGTTTCACTGTTTACCACAAGCAAAGTACTGACTGTTCCTAACCAGCCTGCACTTGCAAAACTCTCAACGGTGTCCAACATTAAATATGATTCCACTATTCAATGGCACATGCTACATAAACCTGAGTCTGTGAAGAATTATGTTAATAACCAATTTAGGATTGAGTAATAGGGCATGCTTGCATATCCTGGAAACTACATAGTAATGTACAGGGCCACGTACTTTGCAGACAGGAAGAATATGTACATTCACGGTATTTGTATGACATTCTCTTGTTGATTTCTCAAAACAATACATTGATTAGAGTCAACAAGGTGCAGGGCTGGATGAACACAGCAGGCCAAGCAGCATCAT